TGTGAAGTTCTATCTATCTACTATCTCGCTCTTGCTCTCTTGCTGTCCTCTTTTTCTTCCTTCGTCTTTCATGTGGACAGTCTTATTTTGTTGTTGAACGAGAAAAAAAAGTAGTGTAATACAATGGAGTCGAATATCGATTCGGAAGGCTCGCGCGCTCAATTTGGTTATAATCGACACATCGCAAATATTCAAACACACCATATACGAATGCAAATTGCAACGAAATAAAATGATAACAATAACATGGGTGTTGTGCGGAGCCGCAGTCGCAGCAACAACAACAACAACAACAACAACAACAACGAAGAAATAAATACAGAAGGCACGAACAACTATTTGAGTAAAAGCACATTTTTATAATTAGTGTTGTCTACTGTTGAGCACAATGATAAACGTTTTTCAGACACACAGTCATTTTATCCATTGAATTCAACATCTGCCATCACGCGTCGTCGCTCAGGCACCTCTTACAAGTGGACTTCTACTCTCTTGCCTTTGATACTAGATGTGTAACCAATGGAAATTAACAACAGCACATGATGAAACACATTTTATTAGCTCGTCGCAAGCACATCTCGATTATGCATGTAATTTTTTCATTCACTTTGTCCCTCTTCTTGCTCTCGGTACACGAATATACATTTTGCAAATTCAATTTGCTAAATGCCATGCATTATTCGTACCCATTGGCTGTTGACTATTTCATGTTTGATGAGCCCCGATGGAAATTCGAATTATGTTCTGTTTTTTCTTCTTCTTTTTCCCCCACATTCAGTTCACACATAAATACGAGAGTTGTGGCAGTTTAATTTTGGACACATATACCAATTATCTATCAAAAATTCAATGCGACAAAATGTTACAATGTCAATGACAAACGGTGTTTATGCTGTGGGACATCGTGCGAGAGATGAACAAACCGTTATTCGACATTCACTCATTATGCATGCATCATATTGTTTCGCCAACTCGGTTTTGCGCGTCGCTGTCATTGCCTAATTAAGATTTTGCTCGCTATAGCTATTAAGCTATAAAAAAGAAATGTTTTTAGCATGGAAAAAAAAGAAGAAGCTGGTTTAGGAAGAGGCGACGGCATGTCGGTCGCACAATGAAAAGGAAACATGACAGGAAAAGAAGGTCACATAATGATCTAATGAGATGAACAAGAACACTCACATGAAGCGGTAATATGTTATGTTAAATGGAGTTTTAAAGGGTTTAGCTGAAATTCCGGCTGAACAAAAGCGTTTCAACTAAATGTCAAGACGAAATTTCGACATTTTATCTTTCTCTTTAAAATTTTACCATTCATTAGTAGTTTGAGCAAATTTTACACGATGGTTAGCAAAATTAACAATACAGAATTTGATTTGTTCTAAAAATTTAGCTGTCATAGTAAATTAGGTTGAAGAAGAAACTCTTCGTATTATTCGAAAAAAGAAATGGGAATAGTTTCAACAGGAAAAAAATAGATTTTTTTAAAATCAATTTACAGATATCTTGAGAGTTACTATAAATTAAAGAGACTGTCGTTAATTATTCGCTAATCGGTAAATGTGATCATCGATGTTGCTCTCTCTCTCTCCCTCTTCTTCATGTAGCAAGCGACAATTTTCAATTTAAAATAAATAAAGTGCTTCGGCTGATTTCAGCTGCAGCAGCAACATCAGTTGAAAATGTTGTGTCCATGGATGTATTAAAGTATACTTTACGGTACCTACTGTAAGAGTTGAATCCTTGGCGTTCGCCCGTCTCCACATCGGGACTATTCTGTCTCTCTCCTCTCACTATTTTGCAGATGAGTGTGAATATCCACTTCACATGTGCTCTCTCATCACATCATGATACCGAAGAATATTCGAGGATTTTGTACCTTGGCATAACAATTTGTTGGACATTCTCCAAATGATTGTGCAACGGACAAGAAAATAGAATTAATTAGAGCACAGCGTATAAAATGCACTTCCCATTAAAATCGTGTGGCTATTTATACAGTCGTGTATGTTTTTTTCTTCTTCAAAGAACTCTTTATTGAATTTAAATGAAAGCACACACTTGTGCAAAGGACCGAGACACACACACAACATTTGAAATTGCCGAACACGCCGTTTTTACCTTATTATTTCGATTGATTCGGTGCTATCACAACAAAGTACAGCACGTGTAGAAAACTGCACCAACACACACACCCGTTTGCTGTTTATTTTATGGCAATCTTTTTTTGTGCATTTCAAACCACATTGATTACGGGTTTGGATAAATGCTCTTCGAAGAGCTTCTCTCGTTGCAAAAGCATCCAATTGATTGCATCATCCCAACACTTTACACAACTAAATCCCGGCTTATTTGCGATGTCAATTTCCGAAAACCGCATTCACGTTCGTCGCATTTCAATATACACTTAAGCACTTGAGACCGTATCACGAGAACGAATGGAGCACTCTGCACCGCATAAATAGGGATCAAATAATTGCGGAAAATGGACGAAACGAGCAGAAAAAAAATTGCGACGGTTAAGTATGAAAAACAGAGAGAAAAAAAAGACCGTTGCCAAGTTGCTTTGAATGGTATTTTACAGCAAAAAAAAAAACCCTCGAAATTTTTAATCAGCGCTTAGAATTTCGTTTCAAAGTTTTTTACATCGAAAATTAATGGTGGCAATTGCGTTTCTCCAAAAAAAAACTATTGCAGCAGCTACGATTCCCTTTCAATATCCAGTAAATTGGATTTAAAGCATGTAACAAAAAAGTAAACGCAACGAGCAATTTATTGGCAATGATTTTTGTTCGATTTTATAAAAAGCGCTCAAACGCTTTTATAACTGAAATATTTTACTCAATGCCCACATATAACCATATGTATCAAATTATACAGATGAAATAGGCTCAGAAAACGAAAAACGAAGTACTCAATTCGATAAATATCATATTCACAATGTTTGTAGTGGTCACCACTGTATTGATTTCGTTTTTGTGTGTTGTGAGAGAGAGAGAGAGAGAGAGAGAGAGAGAGAGAGAGAAAGAACATTTTCTCTTTTCAAAGAGATGAAGTGGTGAGTTGTTATTGCATTTTGTCAGGAATTGAGTTCTCTGCATTCTGTTGCGGCATATATACCCAAGTATATTATGTCTGTGCAGAAGCAATATCAAATGGGATTGATAATTTAGTTCGAAGCCAAACCTAGTTTTTGGTTCCATTCACAGCGTTTAAGTACAACCATATTCTTATTTATCGGGAGAAAAAACTGAAGATCCAAAATAAGCTTATTTAAACCTGAGTTCAATCTAAAATGCTGGCACTCAACTTTAGTCGAAAATGCTCTGTAGATAAACCGAAGCCCAAATTTATGGTTCATTTGAAGTAAAATTAAATTGTCCGTAAATTTCTTAATGTGCTTAAATTGAAGTGAACACGGCAAAACGAACGTACACGCCAAGATAATTCGTGACTTGGATAACTAATCAAGTGTTCTAAAAGCTGCTAATCGTTATGAAGCGGAACGAGAAACAACAATGAAGCAAACGTGTGTGTTGGCTTCATCAATTTTAAAATGTCTATGTCACCTCACCGATGCATTTGTGATAAGATCACACAGTCCATCGTTGAGATTTGAATGAATCTGATGTTTACTATTTCGATAAGAGCCGAATCCGTTATTGGGTGATTTCAAGTTATCATTCTCTCATCATCTGTACCTCGTTCAACAAACATAAAGTCCGAATAATTTTCATAAAGTGTTCGACAGCTTTGCTTCTTCATCTTTCGAAACTTTTTTTCTTCTAACGATCAATTAAATTGGTATCCATTTTGGTTTAAGGTCTAGATATTTCGCAAGAATTATTTCAACGAAGAAGAAAAAAACGTTCAATACGTTTCGGGTAGCCATTTATTTGGGCATATGTCTTTTGGCGATTACAACCCGGCCCCCGGTCAATATATAACAAGAGTTCAGTTGAAAAAAATCTCCAAACGTTTTTTTTTTTTTTTTTTTTCATTCGTTCAACTACGCCGGTGTTTAAACATCCATTTAAAGCTCAGAAATTGATGCTATAAATCAATTGAAAGCCGCCAATGATGTCGATCTCATCCATTTGATATCATCAAGTTCAATTCGAATGTATTTCGTTTTTCTCTCTAATTATTATTATTTTTTTCTTGCCTCCATCCATTCCAAGTGAATCATTATCGAGTCAATCAAACAATGATAGTTCATTAAATCGTTTCAAGTTATCTTCCGCCTCATCACACACACACACACACACACATCGAACATTTACACCGAAATTCACAGATCACAAAACGACTAATGCAACTTTGTACCGAGAGAGAGAGAGAGAGCAGTCGCCACCGCCGAATCTCGCTCGTTTCGATTTTTCGATATGTAATTTCTTAATGGCGTTTTACGGTTAGAGTGGAAACAAACGAATAATCGACGCTGAAGTCGATTTCTATCGCGTATACATAATGTGTGGTAATCAGAAGAATTTTGTTTTTATACATTTGTTGCCTGTTTGAAACCGTGAATGCTTTAAAAGCGGTGTGTGTGTGTGTGTTTTTGATTGAAAGTTCAGTAAAAATGGCCCTCGGCTAAAACAATCAAAATCTAAAAACTTCACTGAATTCAGTGTGTTTTTTTTTTGCTTTCCTAACGAGAAATAAAATTGGTTTCGAATGTGATTCGATTGGCAATGGTAATTTGAAGAATTTATCAGTTCAAAATGCGAACAAAGAATTTCATTGACCTTGGTGAATGCCAGCAACAAGAACCATTCTCATATATGGGTGAGTTATACACATACACACAAATTAGGTAATAGTTTGGAGAAGAAACCATTCCAAATTATTTTTTTCCTTCTGTATCACTCACAATAATTGCTGTATGAATACTTGTCTCGTATCGACGATTCTCTGAAATTCGATTAAGCTTTTCTTAGTTGTATATTTCATTGAACACAAAAAGCCAATATTTATGAAAAAATTTATTTTCATTTTTTCAGGACATAACAAAACACAGAGAGCCTAGTCGAAAGGAGAAGAAAACAAAAATTCTGTTGAAATTCCATCCCAATCAAATGCGGCATTCGTATCGACTGACGACAGCGTCTATATGAGACAAACGGGCCATTAGCTGAAAAAAAAGGAAGCCCAACTCAAATCAACGACAGCAATCCACGAATTCTTGCGATAACAGTTCCACATCAAAACGAGAATGTAAGTGAAAATGTCGTCTTTTTTTTCATTGTTGCTGCTAACATCGAAAGTATATTTCGTTTGTGTGTGTGTATGTGTTTTTTTTTCGGCGGATATTTGTCGAGAACTTTTCGTCCAGAGAGACAAGATAAAATGCGCCGAAGAAAAATAAAACGCACCAAATTTTGCGAAACATTAAAAAAAAGTCGACCGATTTCACGTCAAAAATTGAAGAAGAAGAAAAAATGCGCCAAGAAAATGATGGAGATTTTTGTTGGCAAAATGCACCAGTAACCAGTAGCCGGGCTGTAACAAACGGAGGCAGTAAAATCAATCGCATCACATCCGCACATTGATATTAATTTTTGAAATGGTTTTGGTGGTGTACTTTGTAGTTCTTCGTTCTCATATCTCGTTTCTGACTTTTTTTCTTTCTTTCTTTCTTTCTTTCTCTTTCACTTTGTGCACAATTCATAATTGAAGTTATTTGTTTGTCGGGTTGCTGTTTTTTTTTTCTAAATTTTTATGCGTATTATAGCCGCCGCTTCTGCCAACAAAAGCCAAGTAGTTGCGCGCTGTTGTTGTTACTACTGTTGTGGTAATTTATTTATTTTTCCTCCATTCTGTAATTTATTAATTTGCACACGACGAACAGAGAAATAAACACATCGAGCAACTATAGCGAGAATGGTACTGAATATTCCGCAAACCGAAGAGTCGACTTAAAATTGAGCAAAGAAAATATTAGATGGCTAAGCGGCGACGGCATAAATATTTTCCCGTTCATTGGTGTGTGCATGTGTGTTGGGTTCTCGAATTGAACGATGGAATGGCCAGAAATTCAACTGGCCAGATTCAGTTAATTTCAAGATGACATAATCTATGGATTTCATGTTTTATATAGTCGAATCTCAGTTTGCAGGCCGTATTCTCTCTCTCTCTCACTCTCTCTCTCTCTCTATCTGTCTCTGCCATTCCCATTTACCGTGTGTCCCGAAAGAGAAGAAACAACGGCTCCATTGCCCTCAGTATATAAAAAAAACGATGTACACGATATCTTGTTGTTCGTTGTAGCCCATTTATATAACTTTCGCTTTGGTAAGTGAGTGTCAAATTGGGTTGGCATTGCCAAAAACGTTAATCACATGTGAACGAAGCAATTTTTCGGTTCTTTTCTTATGTTTCTCTCTCTTTTTTTTTTCTTCACCGTCTTCTCTTTTCTTGTTGTGTCTTTTTTTCTGGTTTTCATTAATTTTGGCCAACCAATTTCTTCATTGTGCAACATTAAACAAACTCATTTCACAGTAAGCTGGAGAGAAAGAGCGAAAAGAAGCACTGGACTTGTACCTTTTGTATACGTTGAAAACGAAATCTGATATTCGCCCAATCCGTTCGACAGAAGAGAAGAAAAAAATATATGGAGAGACGGACGAAAAAAAAAAAATTCAACAAGAAAAACGTCGCACAAAAGTGATAATTTTCGAATGAATGTTCGGTTCATTCAGGCGCAATTCGCATTTTGTGGCTTTTTGGCTTTACTCTTCTTTCTTCACTTTCTCGCTCTCACTCGCTCCCGCTCGTTTTGCTTGTACAACAATGAGGCCAATGCATGGCTGGCTTAACTACTTTCATTTAATACCATTCGTAACTTCTCTTTTTGTCGCACACAAACACACACACACACACACAAAATTCAAACTACACTTCAGTTCGGAAATTCGATTGTTATTTAAAACCATGTTTGCCATAGCCCAATGAAGAGAGAGAGAAAGAATTTTTTTCTTCATTCTAATGGCACTTTTTCGCTTCATTTAATTAAATATGCTTTTTGAATAGATTTCATAAGGTTTTCAATGGATTTCATATAAAAATGAAAGTGTGAAAAAATCTTGTGAAATGAAGATATGACGCAGTATTCACACCGTAAAACATCGATTAACACATGATTCTAAAGAAGACAAAAGCTGACTGTTCGGCATGAGAAGGCGTTTTAGAAGCTCTAATTGCCATTTTTTTTTCACCTTCTGTTACTTTCAAACAATATTGGCGCCTCGGCAATAAAATTTTGAGAGAGTAAAAAATTTAATCATAAAAATGAAGAGAGTGAAATCAATCACGGATTTATAAGTGTGAAAGCGAAAGATTATCAATATGAAGGCGAAATAAAATCTACATGATTGTGTGCCACACTATTTTTGGCCAATGTATTTATTGAATCGATGTTCATTTTTTTAACGGGCTAATTAAATTTTATGCACAAAATTTTGATACAGAAAACTTTAAATTATAACCGGATTCGGTTTGAAAAGTTAGACAAAAATGGTTTGATCAGATTTTTATGTCCAAAAATACAGGTTTGGTGGATTCAAGAATTCAATTATATTTGTATCAACTCGATTCCCAAATAGATATTCCAGTGTGGTTTTATTGCACACACAAACATAATTTCATCTAAAATAAAACTTTCCCATTCAATTGTCTCTTTTACCGCATGAAATGTTCTAGTCCTTTAAATCCGATTGTGTAATCTCCCCCCAAATGAAGCCACAATGCAGAGCTTAACCACACAAAAGCTATTGAATAGAATGTTCAAACTCTAGTCAGGTTATTTAAGCGTGCTCTTCTCCTCGTCGCTACATACTGCAATGTGGATTACCATAAATGCCATATTATCCAAAGTGTTTATGTTGAATTTTATCTAACGGTTAACAAAAACCGTTTTCAGCGATTTGTATGTTTTTTCTCCTAAAAGTCCGCCTACGATTTAGAAATCGTAAAAAAAGCGTCAGTATACTTGGTGTTCATCCGTCAAACGTCCAATTCGGTCATTGTTACGGTATTGGACAGATACCAATGGATTGATAAACGAATGAGAAAAAAAAAACGTATGTGCACTGACCATCGATAAAACTTGGATTCCATCGTCTGTACGAAAATAAAGTCTCTGTCTTTGTCTCGATGTGTGCGAGACAGAAACCAAACCAAAGGAAAAATATTTCGAATGCAACTTATATGAAGTTCGTTTTGATATGATGCTTTTATGGTCATATAGCATGAGGCTATAAAAGAAACGCGTTTGAAGAACTGAAAATGTTGGAATGCTTTTCAATTTTGACGCGTCTTTTCGAAGACATTGCCTCGATTCTTCCCATTATTCCATCTTTGTGTGTGTATGTAAGAAACATCTAAGCAAAATGTGGGCGATACTTTGATAATATTATGGAGAATTGTTAGCCATCGATTTTTTTCGTCTCCTTCTTCTTCTCTGACATAAAGATATTTATATGTCACGAACGGAAAAAATTATTTACTATCCGAATCGCAGAACCTCGAACATATTCATGTCAGAGGACAAAGAGTGAAATGTTCATATATTCAGAAAAGATTCTTACCGTCGTAACATTGTTTTGTCGGTGCATGCAGCCCAAGGCGCAATAACGAGAGATGCACACACATACTCGGTACTTTTTTCTTCTTTTTTTTTCTGAAAAAAATGATAAATTGGTTTCGGGTAGTGATGAGATGCGCCCACAAATTGAACGAATGTCGAAATGAAAAATGCCTGCGTCCATTTGCTATGAATGACAAATGGCATTATTTTTATCAATTAAATGTCGTATCACTCTCCGCAAGCAGCGCTCGTTTTTCTCTCTTTTTTTTCGTTTTTTTCTCTTTTGCCACATTAATTTAGATCAACTCTTTGCACATCTTTTTTTTTGTGTGCCATGCACAAAAGCATATATGCATTTATTTTATACAAAAAAAAGGGAAGACGAGGAGAAAAACGTTCGTTCAAACAAGCGCTGGGTGTAAATTTTATGCATTACTTTTTCCTCATTATATTCATGGCATTTTTCATTATGCTCTCTTCAGTCTTGATATCTATTTTATGGTTTTTAATAATAATCATACGAAAAAAAAGGATTATTTTTTTTCACTGCCTTCTGCTGGTGTGTATGTATGTGTGAGTGTTGTCGATGTTATCGCGCGCTATTCAGCACTTGCATAAAACAGAATGAAATATTCGAAAGGTTTACAATAATAGATTGTGTGGCGCATTTAACAGAATCATGGTAGCGGAATGAGAGAGAGAGAGAGAGAGAAATTATGTAAGGGGAAAAGCCAAAACGCAAAGCATTTAGCCCATGATGAGTGCATGTGCAAACCAAATCAACAGAGAGAGAAAAAAGTGAGCAAAAGAAAAGATGCAAACGGAGATAACACGAAGGGAACGCAAATAAAGCCACATTGCTTCTGGCAAATTTAAAAATATCCATCACATGCGCGCACGTCGACCTCGCATACACATGCAACACCAGCCAACATTACATACAGCAAAACCATTCGGATAAGAGCTGAAGTCGCTCATTCTCATTCTTGCTCTCATTCTCCACATATTTTTCTATTTTATGTTTGCATTTATCCAAAGCGCTCTTTAAACAATAACAACAGCAACAATAGCGAAGAGAAAAAAATAATATTCAATTCATAAAAAAGTGCAATTGTTGCCATTTAAATTAAATGATTCATCTTTTTTATACGATTTTTATTGCTCACTTTGAATATCCGATCATTTTTCACTTATTATGTGCGTTTCGAGTTTTCATACAATTGTCAAATGATCCAGTTCTTAGTTTTTTAGTTCTTTCTTATTCGTTGCTTCTCTCTTTTGTTTGTTTGTGCGAGATTATTCATTTCCAATAAGCAAGTGATGATTCTTGTTACGTGTTACGTGCAGACAGACAGTACAACATGTTTACTCTGAGCATTGTCTTCTTCTTCTTCTTTCTTTCTCTTTCTAAACACAATACAAGTTTGAAGCATTTGTTCCACTACATTTTCTCATTCGTTTTTTTTTCTTCGCTTCTTTGACTTTTTGTATCTTTTGAATTGCGCTTCTTCGCTTCTGATTTGCTTTCATTTGATTTTTTTTTTGAATGTATTATTAAAATGGTAGAAAGCGTATACAGCGACCTTGTTTTGTGTGCTTTGGGTGTAAATTGAACAGCATGAATGCGTTTCGTCAAGTGTGAGTAACAAATGATAAAAAAAAGGGCCACACCATCAAGAGACTATCAAGTGGCAGCATATAAGATGTAATTGAACGTTGTGCACGCCGAAAAATCGACACACACACTTGAAAGAATGCAGATGGTAGGGAACAAGAAACAGAGAGGGAGAGAGAGAGAGAGAGAGAGAGAGAGAGAGAAGAAAAAGAGAAAGAGAGATAAATAACCAAAAAAGAGCGCAACAGCAAAAGATGAAAAATGAAATGAAGTTCAAGGCCGTTGTTTGGAAATTTAATCGGATCGATGTAATTTTAGCTGCTGCTGTTGGTTTGCCACACACACACACACCAAATGCCAAATTTCTAGGAAATCATAACGAAATCCACCACAATGGTGCGATGAAGGAACGTCCAAAAAGCCGATCGTAGTGCATTTGGCTAACAAAAATATCCCTTGCAAAAATGATAAACCCAATCAAAAACCGCTAACCAAAAATTACCACATTTGCTAAATGGACGGTATGATCACTCAGTTTTTTTTTAAATTTCTTCTCTTTCACATTCTTTGCATCGTTTCGTTGTGTGCTTATTTCAATTTGTAATCACCATTACCTGATTTCGTGATTTCGACCAGACCAAAACGTTCAAAATCTTTATGAAGAATATTTGTCTCTTTCAAGACATGGAAGACAATCGCATATAGGCGATAGAGTTCTGACTCCATTTCATTGTGTCTTGTCGACTCTTGTTCATTTTCAAATTAGACATTGACACACCTCAATCGGCATTGGTATCACCTGGATCGGAATGGTTAAATTGTGACAACCATCAAGCAGGGAACTTCATTGTCGTTCCGCAGACGCAGTCGATTTTGATCATTTGGTTGATAATCACTTACAAAATCTAATCATAGTGCTAATGTTCACATCTTATCGCCTAAATTCACAGCTGTGTTATTTTTGGTACCGAAAAAAATTGACAATAACTTTTTGCATCAAATATTTTTGTACATTGGAATCCGATAGAAATGAACCGCTTCGAGACGCGATTTCAATGGGACGTGTTACAAAAAGTGCCAGAGAAAAGCCAGAAGTGAAGAACAAAAAAAAAATCAGGCGACTATTATTCGATTTTAAGTGCTTTTGATTGGATTATAATTTTGATTAATTCCATTTATTAGGCTTTACATTTCTTTCAATCATGTTAAAACGTCTCCTCTTGGACGCGCCTACCAAAATTTCACAGCGAGAACACACACCGCACACAAAGTATTTTTTTTTACACCAACACCGTGCACGGTGATCGACGCGCAGCGCGCATCATAATAAATAGAAAGTACATTTGCCTGAGGCGAAAATCGCATGATAAGGTTCTTTTGTTTTTGCCCGATTTCACTTTGCCGCTTTTTTTTCTCTCGCTACAAATTTGAATCAATTACGCTATTCATTCATCATACGAAAAAGAAACGGTGAATAAAAAATTAGCGAGTAAATGGCTGGGTTGCTTTGGTTATTTTTTGCATTTTCGCAATGTTTTGCGTTTCGAACACACTGAAAATTTCGTGCAAAAAATGTAATGTCGATTGATCGAAGTTTAATGGCAACAATTACATCATGTAAATATGAATTGGTCATGATATCCGCATTTAGGCATATGCCGGCGATGTTCACTCTGTTCTGTAGGATTATTCCTCCACCAACTCATTCGAACGCCAAAGAATAGCATGGTTTAACCCATTAAGTCAAAATTCGCATTAAGTTTGAAATTGAATTTTTCACTTCTTTGATAAATATCGTAAACACTCCAATTTGTAACATAAACTATCAATTCTCCGATTTGCATGTCCATTTCTACAAAATTACTTCATAAATTCCCAACATGTTTATATCTATTCGAAAGAGAATTTGTTTATCTTTTATTTGATGTATCGGTTAATTAACGAAAAATTCATTCAATAGTTTAATTTTTATTTTAATCGCAAAAATACACGAAATCTCATATTAAGAAACTGAACTATCCATATTGTAAATTCCAAATTGAAACATATATTCACAAACTTATGACGAAACTTTATGAAATGTCAAAATTTGAACGCGCAAAAACCGTTTGGGTTCCACGCAATTGTTTCCAAATTCGATGTGATTTCGATTTATTCTATTGATTTTGGATTGTTTTTCTTTTATGTTTTTCAATATTTATTGTTTTAAAACATTTTCGCAAACAAGAATATTTACACTATCATACATTTCAACACACTAAGTGATCGGCACATTGCAAACTGTCACATCTGTCAACACTAAATCAGCCATAGAACTTTCATTCAAAGTTCAGTTGGACAGCAGCTTTGTATGTTATAACTCGGAAAGAATGAGTTACAATTGATACATCATGAAATTTATCTAAAATATTAATATTTGTCGAAATATATTGCAAAAAGAGTGTTTCATTAAATTTTCAAAAACATTTCACAGTAGAAATTCATGAAAGCATCAAATATTTTGTACTGTATTTAGTGGAAAAAACAATGAATTGAGAAGCGTGACATTGCAACATAGTTCAACTTTTCCTCTAAAAACCAGTGAAAAACTAGATGCTGTTTTCAAAATGGATAAATGAATGTAAACTAAAAAAATTTCAGTGTTTAATTATTCTACATAGATAGATTTTTTCGTGCTTTTTCCGAATATGTATATAATGTGTCGCATTTAAAATTCGTATCTATGTTAAAATCGTGTTTTTTTGCAAATATTTTACAATTCGGAGTGTTTACGATATTTGCACAGAAAACCAACACACCGATTGACCTTATGGTTCAAGCTGAACAAAAATCGATTAGACTTTGTTTAATAGCATGTTTTCGATGCTGTTTTCATTTCTTACATTTACAAATTATCAAATGGAAATACGCGACGAAATGTGATACCAACATGTGATTTGTGGTGAGCTCAGTCGCGCTGGAATGGGTTAAGCGCTTCTTAAATCCATCGACACAATCTCGAATGTGATTTGACCAAGAGATAAGCCATCATAATATGATTTATGACGTGATCGTACCGCAACGTTTTTTTCTTCAATATCTTTGAGGCTGGTTGATTTAAATATCTATATCCCTTTTTTGCGTATCCACACTTACATTTTTGAAATCGAATGTTCGGCCTGTTTTCGTCACATAGAATTAAAAAAGGAAATTTATTACAATATATTTTATTTACTGATCGAAGAAAAAAAATTAAAAAACGTTCAATCTTATGGTCGTTATTGTTTTTTAAATAATAATAATACTCGTTACGGTACAAAGAAATGAGACGCATAATATGGATACAAAATGTAGCGCTTACAGCATAAATGCAACATATAGAATTATCAAAATTGTAATTTTTAAACTGCAGTTAGCATTACATGTAATTACAGCAACAGTTTGTCTGGCTTTTATATGACGAATATATACGAACTTGATGGCTTTTTATCGCTGAACATGAACTCACATGAACGGAAGAGAGAGAGATGTAAATTCATTCGCAGCCCGACGTGCTGAACGAATCTCAGCACAATGCAAATAAAATGCATTTTTGAAACGAAGACAGCTAAAACCAAACCCAAAAAAATGCTCACATTTAAAAGCGCACCAAAATTGCTATCCTCAATGTTTCGGTTTTCACCCGTGCAACAAAAACTGTACATATGTGGGAATACGACTAAGTGCATCCACACGAATATCTCAATTGATGTGCCATGCACCCGAAATGTAATGGCTTTGAGCGTATACGATTTAAGAAGCGTTAGACATAATTATTACCATAAATTTGCCACAAAAATTTTGTATTCAACGATAATTATACCACTCAAAATAGAGTCATTAAACAGCCTTTTTTTGTTCGTTCTTTTGAAGGCAAATTAGAAAAAAAAGAACTCGTTAGAATGTCGTCGAACATGCATGCGTAGTGTAAACGGAACCTTTTGTAAGTGCTGCTGCACAAACGAAATGATTTTGTTTTTGTTTTCTGTGCTTTCTTTGTGTTTGCCTGACAAAACTGTGTTACACAGTCTGTGTATGCAAGACATAATCATAGTTACGACCGCAAGTCTTTCTGTAAGGACGACGACGATGACGTTTCGCATCTATTCTATCTCTCACACACACGCACCACACGATGTCAAAACGTTCGCCGCTTTTGACCTCAGTTATCTGTCGACACCGTAATATTGAACGTTTGGTGTTGTATTAAGAAGTGCGATGTTCGGACAAACTGTTCATTTTTCTCATTAAAGCTGAGTCAATGGGGATGTCTTTGCTTTTTTAAACATCTTTTAAATTATTTGCATCATGTTTTTTGTGTGCATCTTTTGTTCAGCATTTTAACATCTTTTGAAAATTTTCCGGTTTTTTTTTAAACATCTTAAAAGATGATTAAATGAAGAATTTTGTTTGTACTTGACGAAACTTTCATTTAATGACTTCAACGCGAGGCTTTTTTTTTCTTAATATTGGAGAGAACAAAAACGTGAGTATAATGATTGAGTTCAAAATTGCTTCAAGTAATGGTCTCGCTATGGCTGTATAATTTCCTCTTTGCCGCCCAAAATCTTGACTTTTATAATTATGAATCATTTCGGGAAAGTAATTTCCTGCAGACTTATCGCAACTTAAATAAAAGTTAAATGAAAGAGACACATAAAAAAATGTCGGTTTTTTCTTCAAGTTGAACAGTCCATTTTGTTCTTTATATATTGGTATTGGTGAAAATTTCATCATTCTTTCGAATCGGTTAATGGTGGCCGGCGCTGCATTCGCAATCAAACAGTTGGGCCGAAAAGAATGACACTGCTGTTAATGAATCACAAGACTGAAACGAGACGAACAAAGGAAATGGCTAATTAATTTATGTCACCGAAGAACACTATCTGTCCACTGAATGACCATAATCTCTCTTCGGGAAGGTTTGTCTGAACCCATGACGACCGATTTATAAAATAAGCGATGCCAACGAAGCGATTTCTTTTTACCTGCATCTCCAAATGGATAAAGTATATAGTATGTTACAAAAATCGAATAAATAAATCCGTGGGTTTGGTATTTCGAGGATTTTCCGACTATTTTTTTCAAATGCGCCTTTTAGTCGTCCAATACAGAATAATGAATAATAAAATGGTTTACTATGTATTTTACACATAAATAGGTATCGACTCGCTGTTATCCTGTGCCGTAATGTGTGAATTCAGCACAAAATAGCAGCAGCACTGTTTACTTTCCATCTGCAAATGCATATAAACTAGCGATAGGTCGCTTTTTTCCCCGCACTTTATTGTTAGTCCAATCTATTTGTTCAGACACACAGTACGCACCATTATTTTCATGTGCTGTGTGTACACAATTCCCCACTCTCAGATATTTTAGAAATAATTCGCGTTGAGATCCGCTTAGAATTCTCTTACTTGAGTTGAGGCTGAGTTGTTGTTTGCATTTTATGTCTGTTATTTGAATGCGACAATTCCTTAGGTATGCAAGTGTTTACGTAGGAAAAACAATCAAATAGCTACTGAAAATAGTCATTGATACCGAGCACTTATTGAGTAAATGTCTTCATTTGCACTTTGCTAAATGCAAACAAATTGAAAATCTCTTTCTTTCAAACAAATTGATTGTTTATGGTTTTTTTCTTTTCTCGCAGAAGAAAAAAACATTCATTTTCAATAGAATGTTTCGAAAGAGCCCAGCTTGCTTAAGAAATGTATTTTCCTCACATTTTTTTTCTTCTCTCATTGTATCTACAAATCCATTGTTTTTTTTTCTATATCCAACGAAATATTTCCGTTCTCGAGAGAAAAAAAAACAAAGTATTGAATGTGTGCAAACTTGGAATTAGATCAAGTTCAGGCTTCTGATTTTGAAACATATTGGATGAGAGAAGAAGAAGATGAAGAAGAAAAAATATGATGAAACGCATGAGATTTGGAACGCGGTTGAAGAGTGTGTAAAGAATACGCAACAACACGTTAAAACACGTCAGAAACGATAAAGGAAGAAGAAGGAACTCTATTTATGGTTGAGCCAGCAATGAGCATTGACACAAAAGGAAAACGCAACAACAGCGGCAGCAGCAACAACAATAATGATAGAGAAACCGCAAACAAAGAGCACGTAGGGAAAAAGAAGAGCGAAGAGAAGAAAAACAACGTGTAATATATCCATATATGTGTCGATAATCTTTAAAATGTGTACACGTTAAAAATTTACACAGCAGAAAAGAGACCTACTGATGGACAAGAGAAAAAAAAAGCAACAACAACGAAAACATAAAATGAACACTCAACTCAAGCCATTGGTAATCATTTATTTACAAGAATTTTCTCAGAGCAATAAAAAAAACCAGCATAGGTCTCGAAGGATATATATATTACGTCGATAAAAAAAAGGCGCGCACTCACACAAAACATGAAATGATGAACATTTGGCAGATTTGGTTTTGCGCTAAAATTCGAAAACTTATTGACTTCATGCTGGCGGATGTGGCGATGACAAGCGGCGTTGACTTGACATGTATGTGATGGCTATCGACTGGTGGTTTCAATTCGTGGCAGTTGCACAACACACAGTCGAAAGAAATAAAACAAAATTGGAATACACTTTTTTTTTGTTCATAAAACCATCAATGCGTAATTATTTGTGCTCAGTCTGAGAGACGCGCCATCGAGATATATCTCGATCGCTTGATTTGCATGTACACACACACAATGATGATCCATTGATATGCGTTAATTGCAAATGCAATGAGATTTATGCGGTGAATGAATCATTACGTACACACTGGGCGCAGCAAAGGAAATAATGCATGGCATCCAAATACAAAGTAACATAAACAGTTCAAGGCCATGGTGGCGGCAACACCATGTTTTGCCATCTCCAAAGCCCATTACGGAATTACGACCCGATTGCCGAAGAGTGTGTGTGCGCGCGCAACAATTTTCTCAGAACAGTCTCATAAAAACGAAGACGCTACAAAATATCAACTTCATTCTTTTGTGGTTTATCTTTCTGTGCAAAACTACTTTGTTGCACTGAGCAAAGCAGCGAGAGAAAAAAAACACATGAAGAATCCAACACCAATCCTTATTTTATACCTATAGCTCATCTACGAAATACACACGCATTTCCATGTTGCACAACGAATGAGGCGTGCTCATTTTCGTGCTTGAACGAATGAATAAAGCAGACAAATAAAAACAGCTTAACGTTTTAACCTGATCTTTTCAAAATCAATATGTTAATAATCTCAATTTCTCTCATGTAGTTCTATTTCTGTGTGTGTGTGTGTGTGTGTGTGTGTGTGTGTTCACAAAACCACGCTGCAATTTCAACATTGGACGACTTTTCTTACTTTTCTTGTGAGCGATCTAGTACAATTGACGCGTCTCATTGTTTTCCGTTTTCTTCTTCTTCTTCTTTGGTTTCTCATTGTTTTTCAACTCCACCAAGTTCTGTTGTTCTTGTGCACTAGAAAACGGTCTGTTTCGTTATAACAAACTTAGCCGGATGAATGAACGGATAAAATGCAAATTGATTGATGTTGTACGTATAATAAACGTCAATGCTTTATTGATCCAGTTCTGAAAACGCTTCAAACGACTTTAAATTCAAAGACGGAATGGAATTCGCATCACATAAAAACCAACCAGCCCAAGTGAATAGCGAACAACAATTGATGTTGAAGTTGGAATTTGAATACTGTGTCGCATGCTAAACGACACACCGTTCTTACCGACTCCTCAATGCAACATCAAACGCACTTTTAATTTGTATCGTCGAAAAAAACACAAATGCAACAAATGAATCAAGAAGCATTTCTGTAAAATGGCAACGTTTTATAACAAAGCCAACCATATCGACCATAGCAGTTGGTATATGGTGAGAGAAAGAGAGTTGAGTAAGTGCAAACATTGTTCGATAACAAAAAAACGTAAAGAAAATGAGTGTGTTTTTTCACCGCGATTCCAAACAGGCTTCGATAGGGCTCAAGAACAGTGCAGACGAACAAACATCACGCATATATCGATTCTTGTTAAGTGTGTGTGTTTGTGTGTGTTTGTGTGACAAAGTCATCGAATCACATCTGAATGAATCAAGTATATTCGTAAAGCGATTAGCGTTGTGTGCATGCCTATGTTGCGTTAGTACACTATTTTTTACTGCAGTCTGCCATGCACATGGAATATGGAAAACCAATCGCATCGTAAGCAGCGACATCAAACCACAAACAATGCCAGCAATAATAATGATCACTTCTCAAACTTATTTATGCATTAGCAATAAACGTTGCAAACATTTGAGACGCAGAACAATTTGCATGCATTTAAATCATTTGCATTTTGCCTGGGATCTATCAAAGCGCGTTCGTATATTTATGATTTTTCTCTCTATTCCACTTCTTTTTACCTTCTCCTCTCTCACTCTCACCCGTTCCTCGTTTGTCTCTCTTTCATTCTCTTGCTTTCAAATATTCATGGTGGTACAACATTTTGTCTCCAATTTTGAAACGCTTATGGGAACAAGTAAATCCCTAAGAACGAAAAAGCGTTTTACTTAGCGTTTTCCTCCGAGACTCTCATCCAATAAAAAAAAGAAATTGTTGACACTCGGAGTGCTTCTTTTTTGAGTTTCTAACGCGTTCCGTTTACTCACTCAACATAAATTGACGTTGATAATCATATTTCTTGCTTTCACATGATAAAAGCCCAACCAATAAAAACTAACAAATAAAAGCGCAACCAATGCATTATCGCAAAGTGTCATGTATTTATTCTCTTTCAATTTTCTTGGCCAAGAACGGTTCATACCAATTTGCGACGACAAAACTACAGGCGTGATGCGTTTATACATTTGAGTCGATTTTCGTTACGAGCATTCCGCTCAATCACTGTTATATTGGAAGTGTACACTGTACATGCGACATTCAGAACGTGGAATTGAGAAAGATGAAGCAATTTTACTCAAACAACTCAAAGTGTAAACAATCGAAAATATTATTATTTTTAGCGATTTTTTGTTTTTATTCTCTTCTTCAGACTTTTCTTTTTCTAGTTGTCAATTGTAATTGCATCGTTAAATCGAAAAGTCACACGAGTAAAAAAACAATCTTCTTTTGTGATAATACTTTGCCCATGTGGTTGAGAAACGATCCATTGTTTGTGCGAATGGATAGTTTTTCAGTCTTTCGTGAAAATGAGGAGTTTTTTTTCCTGTACCGTCTATCAAAAGGAAAGTATCGAATTAGTATATAACTTCAACGATTCGATTGACGTAAATCCGAAACGTGGTTAAGGTTGTCTAATTTGGTTTATTTCGCACATCATGTCATCATCAACGGCAACACGGCGACATGGCAAAGAGAACATTCATTCAGAACATGTCCAATTATATTTCCGTTGTTCATGCTCTTGGTATGAGATCGGCATATCCCGTGACCTGCGTAAGACAATGGTCAATTGTAATTGTGAAAAATGCGCATGCGGCACGTTATACGATTACGATGACGAGAAACCTATTGATTTGTCAGAATGGATCAAAGCAGGAAGTGACAGTTAACGGTTTGCCCAAAAACAGAAACAACACCATCCACGACGGCCACTCATACATAATTTATAAGTAAAGAGTGATGGAAATAAAAACCCCAGAAGAAAATAATAATGCTGCGCTACAAATATGCCACTGGTGTATTCTTTTATTGTTTCCTATTGTCCGAAACAAGAGAGCCATGTTTGTTCAATTGAATTTTTTGGGTTTGATTGTGCGGTACAATTTGTGCCATCAAATAGATTTGTTTTCGGCATTATTGTTAGCATTCACATGGATCTGTATACTAAATATGTACAAATTATCATGCTACTTCCCAAGGAACAATTGTTAACGCAAATACATCCATTACCAAGCGTATGTAAACGGTTGAATTTGGGCCCGCATTTGGGTGTAGTTGAAGTCATTTTTAACGTCACAATGGAAGTAGAAAAAGAGCAGTAAAAACAAATCAAGTAGAATGATATAAAAACGATTATGAATCAATATTCAATATTTTTATAAATAGTGATACTCACCTACAGGAATTATCCTGTACTCTACCTACATCTATATAGACTATAGAATATAGATAGCCATCGATATCTGGTATCGATGATGTCTGGGAGACTAAGACCTCAACCAACTACAAATAACATACTGTTACATAAATTCTTTTGAAAAATAAAACATAAATTGCGGCTCTATTGATATTAATGAATGTTGAAGTTGACTCGGAATCGAGTTGGATACACGAGGCGTGAACGCATCATGCAGCCGATGTCCAAAGAGTTCGCAATGCCCTGAAACAAAGAGAAAAAAACACACACACATTACTATTGCATCAATTTCAATTCAATGAATAACATACCTCTGTACAAGATCAATTTTGCAGCCGAAATGTCACGTTGCCAAACTGTCTTCAGTACTGGAGAGTCGTCAACAGGGTCTTCGGGCACATATTCATCTGTGTACTCGATGATACCGAGTTCAGCGTCGTGAATGATTACACCTCTGCGCTCTTCAACATTGTCATCCATACCGTTTGCCGCGTTTTGTTGCCAGTTTTTACGGTAGCAAATCACCTTAGACACAAAACCACGGGGTTGATTTGGATTCTGCACTGCTGCTTTCCGCATCGCTCGTCGCTCTGATCGTAACTTCCGCTTGCTCTTTGCCGCTACAATTTTCTCTGGTAGCTTCATTCCATCAGGCCAATCATTTTGATCGGGTTCACACCATACACACACCTTGACACGATCGTTCAATGTACTCAATGGAAATGGTTCGAAACATCTGGCACACAATCGTGATGATCTGGCTTCGTTCACAAATCGTATGACATTGCCTTCCATTTTCTTGAAACTCTTCACCAATTTCCGCACGCCCGGGCATCGAACGTGTTTCTTGATCTGTATTGGTGAATTTGCAGGTGGTTGGGAAGCTCCAATGTTAATGATGCATCGTTTGTGATTTGTCTGTTGAGCAACAACAAAAACATTCAATTTTTTCAAAAGAAACAAAAATTCAATCGTAAATTCTTACCAGCATTGCCACCAATTCGGCCACCTTGTCACTGACCCGATTGGACTCGATGTAATGATCAAAACTTAAACGTGTGTACTTTTCGGTTGTGTACACTGCAATGGCTTTCTTCATGATGGTCAATCGATGCCGTATGTAGTCACGCCAATTGCTTCCTTTTGGTGATGGCATTCGGTCATATCGCGCTCGGTTGTTTCGATCACTCTCTTCGAACTGCCCAAAGGCACGAGTCCATCGCTCTCTCTTTTCCTTACGCACTCCTTCTCCGGTGCAATAATGATACTTCTTGCTGTTGATTGTGAAATTCATCTGTGAGATGGAAACAAAAATCGAACAATAAAAATTAAACAATGAAATGGATTTACATGACACAATCACAATAGAATGCATTCAATCGCTAACATACCTCTTTGCCATTATGAATTCGCTCTTTGTCATTATTAATTCGTCGCCTAACGGTTGCATTCCACGTCTTCATACCCCAATCAATGCCCAATTCATAGACATAGAAGCCATCAGAGTACCGTTTACGCACCAAACCATCTTCCACTAACTTGTCGACTACGGTTTTCTTCACTGAGTACAGAATCGATGCCGATACACCATCGCTGAGAATATGTTCGAATTTTTTGTTTGCTTTCAACACTCGATTGATTTTCTCCATGTTAAAAATCATATTGAAATAATACGCTTGATTTGATTTTAACGTGACGTCGCTTCCTGAGTGTTGCCGACCATATTCATCACGTGGAATGGTACCGGTTCCGCACATCATATGATACAAAACATCAGCGTCTATTCTCACTGCCTTTCGCGTGTGATGACAGATTGGGATGACCACCAAATTCTTGATGTTTGGTAACGCAATGACTTGCACGATGTTGTCGTGGTGTTGTTCAACCCAGTTGAGGTGCGTTTCGATTTCTGATTGCATGATCAACCACATTGGCAATGATGCAAACCATGTATCTTCGTCTTTGGTGAATTTGGCGATATCATCGTCAGTCGGTCCGCGAATATCTCGAACATAAAGCAGCAATCGATCTCGTTTGGCCAAGCGATCCGCATCACCTCTTGTTGCGTCATATCGTTTCATTGCCCATGACACTGCATTTGCCACATCTCGTTCATCGTATGTGTCCGGTAGGCCACGAATCCGGTTAGTGTAGTTCTGTCTGAATGCCTTCAATCTCAAGAAATACCGCAATCGTTTCTGTGCATGTGTATCCAAATTCGTCTTCATATTACGGCCATATTGTTGGAATAAATATTTCATCATGTTGCCGAAGTAATTATTGTTTGGCCATGCGGAGCGATTCTCGGTGTCCACATTCTCAAAGCAATGCCGGAACCATGGATCCATAATGAAATTTTCTTCCTTGTAGCGCCGCAACACAGCAAAGAAGCAATTTTCGATGATATGCATTCCATCGCCATCGTCGAAATATTCCCAATTGCCGGTGATGATGGCCTGTTCAGTGGCATCTCTGACTTTGTTGAGGAATAAAAGCGACGCCAATTCAGATATTTCGGTGCATTTTATGCTGGTTTTTGTGATCCATGGCAGAATACGATCACGATATTCCGGTCGAACAATACTAGCGGCGGCCAACTTGATTGCAAAGTATGCTTTCTCCTCCTTTTGCTTGCCATCTTCAACTTTCCGCGGTTTCGACCTATTGCCACGAATGGCATGTGCCCCTATCCTTTTTCTACCCATTATTGAACCCTGAAAATATAGAATGAAAACACAAAAATTACTTTAGAACGCACTAGAAATGATTTTTTGTTGCTTCTAAATTACTTAATTTGAATGAAAAACGAAAAAAACAATCACTGTAAATCGAACAGTATTCACAACAAATGACTTGCCTTTCCAAATGCTCAAATCAATGTGAATGTGCAACCGGCATCAGTTTGACACATCAAGCTGAATTTGGTTGTGACATAAATACTGCAAACACGTATCTGCACACTGTGTGTATGTGACAACTCTCTTCAACGCGCTAATTTTCGTGACGAAATTCGGATTTGACTGGTGTCGATGCAGAAACTCATGCGAAATATAATCTCATAACGGAACCGAAATAAACAAATACAACACCAAGCCACAGTAGCGAATGAGTCTGTTGTGTTGTGTTGTGTTGAGTTGTGTGAAATGGAAGAGATGTGTCGGTTGTGCTGTTTCTTTCTAATTCACGCGCCCAAAACGAAATCAATACACAAATCGAATTCTTGTAAGATGTTTATTCAGTTCGTTCGGCACAGAGTTGTTTGGAATGGTTGTCATTTCAAATGTTTGAATTTGAAAGATGCTGGGTAGCGTTCCGAATATTCATACAGTTGGTTTACACTGAAATTTCAGTCGATTTTGACGGAAAAAATGTCTAAAAACGTTACATCTTTTAACGTTAAAAATTATCATGCTACTTACTACTAAATCTCTTTATTCTCAATGTAATGTTTGTACTTTCTCTTGATCGAAACAATAACAATGAAAAAATAGCAATTTGTACTAAACCGAAAGAGAAAAAAACAGAATTTTTGCTTTGTTTTGCATATGAAATTGTGACGGAATGCATAACAGCAAGAAAAGAACAACTGACTTGAGCATATGGAATTTATAACATTCGAATGAACGCGATTCGTTCAATAAAAATCACCAACGAATTTTTTTACGCTTTCAACAAAAAAAAAAGAAACGTACGAATTCTTCACATACGTACAAAAATCAATTGTAGCCCGTTTTCAGGTCTTATCAACAGCCGTGCGTTCTTACGTTCTGTGTTATGGGCACTCAAGAAGAGATTCGATTTTGACAAAAAATTGGGTTGAGATTACATACATGGAGTAAAAAGTGAATTCAAAAAGTGAGTTCAAGAATTCTCTTGGGAGTAAAAATTCCGCAATTCAAAGGAGTTATTCTGAGTGTCAGTGTCCTGTTCAAAACAAACAATATGTCATGAACCAATTACACATCAGAATTTTATTGGGTTCGTTGTGAATAAAAATTATTCAGTGAATTACTTAGCGAAGAAAAAGATGTGAGGAAAAGATGAGCCAAATATATTAATTAGAATCGTTTGCTTGGTACTTGGTCTGATGATTCCAAGCAGAACCAACAAATTTTGGATCAAAAAATATTTGAATAATAACCGCAGGGCGTTTTTGAATCATGATGAAGCACATCACCTTTTATTCTCTCTCTCTCTCTCTCTCTCTCTCTCTCTCTCTCTCTCTCTTTCTTTCTCTCTCTTTCTCTCTCTTTATGGCGAGAAAAGAAAAAAAACAAATCTGCAGTGTGTGTATGACCTTTGAGAACGCTTGAAAATTAGCTTCGATCAAAGTCACGAATCTGATGTCTGCGGAGACTTGAGTTGCGCTCAAAGAGAAAAGAAATTCAGAAGAAACGAGAATGAAACATATCATTGTGGTGTAGTAGTAGACATAAAAAAAATGAAAATCGACCTATCAATCTTCATTTGGTTGGCGTTGGACACATATATTAGCTAAACCGAGCAAGAGAGATAAAAAAATAGTCGAGGAAGTTAAGAACAATCGAAAAACTATAACTAGAATACTCTGAAATATACAAAATCGCGAAAAGCGGTGAACGAAGCGAAGCAGTAGTGATGAAGGAAAAAACAAGCGAATGATTCATTATACCAAAATGTGATATCCACATATTTGATTGACAACCAAGGGAACTTAATTTCAATGAACTCTCTCTATCAGTGCGGCTCGATCATACGAGTTGAACGGCAAGCGCACGAAAGTGCTGAGCCGATGAGATGAGTTGAGAGATGAACAAATGTGAATATTCCACCCGATGTGCGTCTGTGCCGATGTCTTGGTATGTGCTGGTGTGTGTGTGTGTGTGTGTGTGTGTGTGTGTGTGTGTGTGTGTGTG